CAACCAGTTACTTTATTCCTACTGCCTACTAATATTTCTAAAGCATCTCACCTTTCACATATCATTTCTTCTTCTCAGTGGACAATTCAGCTCCTAGTCTCTGATTTGTCTCTGGCTACTCTGGTCTCTCATCCAATTAGATTCCTTTACCAGCAGTCCATCCTGATGATCTCTTTCTAGGGTGACTACTGAGGACTCACAGAGCAATCCTGAGAACCCACATGGAGCCATCTTTTCCATGCTGTACTAGTGCTGCTAAAACTCAGTGGTGACTATGGCCTCATTAAACTCCCTTTCCCCTTCTCGTGTCTACAACAAGCACATAACCTTCATGGCCCTCTGATATCTAACAATCAACTTGGTTGGTCCATACAACATTTCTAGAGTTTTCTAGAATTTTATTGTTCAGGTTTTTTTTGGTGTTCATTTTCAGACAGGTTCTTACTACACAGCCCACATTAGCTTTGAACTCAGGATCCTCCTACCTCCGTTTCTTGAAGGCTGGGATTAAGGTATATGTTGTCATCATAGCAAGCTACTTACTGTTCATTTTTATTGGATTGTTAATAATACCCAAATATCTCATATGCCTTAATTCACAATAGGTAAGAATGTTCCCTCAATCTGGCAGGAATCTGCAAGTCCTAATTTATAATCCCTTGTCTATTGGAAACTTTTTCTGAACCTATTAATTAGGTTCACTCATTCTCCTTAGGATCATCATGAGATATACAGTATTACAATGGTGCATATGCTTGTATCTCAATACGAATATAGGCTACGTTGAAGTTAGAGTGGTAGTTTTATTATCTTTTTTTTTTCTTTGTTGCCCAATACATGCCTAGAAATCAGCAGATACTCAATAAATGTTTAATTCACCTGGAGGGTTAGTGCTAAGTTGTGATAAAAAGTGGTTGATGTGGGATGCTGTCTCCAAGTAAACAGTAAGACAAAATAAAGGTCTAAAGCTCAAAAGAGTATCTTGAAAAATCCCATTTGGGGTAAACCTCAGGGGAAATTAGTGGGTAAAAGAAAAACAGGTACAAGAAAGAGAATGGCAGCTCATGCCCCTAATTCCAGCTACTAGGGAGGCAGAGATGGGAAGATCACAGTTCAAGACCAGCTTTGGAAAAAGATGGTCAGACACTATTTCAAAGCACAAGCAAATGTCATTGTATACTTCTTTAATCCAAGTTACTCAGGAGGCAGATCAGTTACTCAGATCTCTGTCTGAAAGCAACCTGGGCAAAAACATGAGACACTATCTGAGCAGCAATCTGAAGCAAAAAGGTTCAAAGTGTGGTTGAAGTAGTACTAGGTTAGCCTTGCAAGTGTAAAACTCTGAGTTCAAACCAAGAAGAAGGAGAAGGGGGAAGAAGAGGAGGAAAAGGAAGAGGAGGAGGAAAAGGAAGAGAAGGAGGAAGAAGAAAACAGGAAAGAGAGAGAGAGAAGAAAGAAAAAGAGAGACAAAGAACGATTGGGCTTGATAGGCTACAAAAAAGTCTAAAACGCAAGGGATAAATGACCGACCTCCTGAATTTCTGGGTGTATTTTGTTTGTTTTTAATGTACTTATAATGTACTGTGTTCTTCCCCCATGGTATATAGCCCCTATTTCCACTGTATTTCGTTTTCAATAATTCTCTTGGGGATCCAAAAGAGAAGAGTTCCTCCATAGAGGATCGAAAGCTAATCTACACTAAAGCTAAAGATTAATTGCTAGCAATGTGCCTTTGAAGGTGTTTGAGAGAAATCAAAAGAATTTGACAAATTGGTCTAGTGAGCTGATTAAAATTCTTTTCGATTCTCCAGCTTTGATTCTTGTCTTATCTGCATACGTTACATAAAATATTTTATGTAACTGTAAAGAAAGTAAAAATTGAGTAGAGCAAATGAAAAGACTTCAAGGTTTCTGGGGGCTCGTGCAAATAAATTTTAATCCCAAGGCTTGAGGTAGTGCTTCAGTTGTGGTAGAAGCCGTGGCTTTTCTGTATTGTAGGTAAGAAGGGGCAACTGTACTTTAGATCAAAAGCTTCTGAAAGCCAAGAAACTGCATAGTTCATGGTTGAAGTGATAGTTGTTAAGGTACTCATGGGTGAGTGGGAGGGGGGCTTATGTTTGTCTTGGCTTTGAAAGACATTTTGGTAGAGAATGTCTCCATATGGGAAGAAATAGGGTCTATATATATATATATATATATATATATGGGAATTTAAAAGTCTGGGAAAAAATCCGCAGGTTCTAAGGGATCCAAGAAGGGGTCAAAATTTTGAATTTCTATGTTTTGGGAGAATGGCAGTAATATAACTGCAAGACAGAAAACATTGTTTTCTAATATTGTTCAACTTAAAAAAATACAAAGGCAAACTAAACTTTTAATCAGACTTTCTTGAAATCATATTATTGCCTATTGTGTTTTCATTTTTTGGATATGTTTTGTTATAAGTTTTTGTGCACTAAAGAAATGGGGGGTTGTAGTTGTGGAGATGGGAGGGAAGGGAAGGTAGGGGAAAAACAAAGGAGGAGGCAACAGTGCTTGATAAGAAATGTACTCATTACCTTGCTCATGTAACTGTAACCCCTCTGTACAATATTTTCACAATAAAAAACTTATTTAAAAAAGAAAATTATTTTGAAGCAACTGAAAATAAATAAGAAAAGAAATTTACTTGAAAGAATTTTATTTAAATTATATATTTTGTAAGATATCTGTTCCAAAGACATCTGTATAATGATTCAAGCTATACTAAACACTCTTGTATATTCTTGTTATTTTAAGAAGCATCTAAATCCCAATTTTCTCCTTCCTTTCCAGTTTGTTTGCTCCTTCCTTCCTTCCTTCCTTCCTTCCTTCCTTCCTTCCTTCCTTCCTTCCGTCCTTCCTTCCCTCCTCTACTGGGATTTGAATTCAGACCTCATACTTGCCAGACAGGATTTCTACCACTTGGCCAAATCTACCAGAATTTTTTATGTTGTTTATTTTAGAAGCTGTCTCTATGCCAGGGCCCATCTGAACTGTGATCCTCTAATTTATGCTTATGTTAGGGTGAGAAATGTGCACCACTGTGCTTAGATACTGGTTGCGATGAAGTCTCACAAATTTTCTTTGCCTTTATTTTTTTGTCTATGCTGGCCTCAAATCACGATTCCCTCCCTCCCCCCTACTTTGCCTCAATCATCACCTCCCAAGTAGCTAGGATTACAGGCTTATTGCCACCGTGACTGGCTCCATGTTTCCAATTTCATAGTGGTTCTTCATTGACTGTCTCAGCATGCAATTATTTAACGGCTTGATATTGTTTGTCTGTGTCATTGGGTTTCTCGTTTTTTTTACTTCTAGATTTTTGGGCCCTCTCTGTAATAGATACTAATAATAATTCCACAGCTATGTTAATTGTGTTACTTATAAGTTAGTTAGGGGACCTGGATTGATTTGCTTCTTTGAGCAAGGGCTCTTTGCTTTCATCTCTATGTCATTAGTTCCTAGCAAATACTTGACACTAGCAAGCCCACAACAGATACATGTGAATGTGCAAGTTAACACTTTATATTAATAAATCACTTCTAATTCCTCAGTTCCTAACAAGAGGAATGGGTAAGGGACAGAAGAAAGATTTATTGGGGATTCCTTGCTCTGGTTCTAATACTGACCTAACAAGGAAAATTTCTGTACCTCACTGGCACACATCATGATGTTTGGGAAATTATGTTGGTGTAGTAGGACTAATATTTAGTCTATGCTACTAGTATTTTCTAATGGTGTAAGTTGCAGTCTTAATCCAGGGACTAGACTAGTTATTTCCTGGAGATCAGAAGTCTTATAAATGTGCCTGGCACAGTGGCTCAAGCCTATAATCTTAGCTACTTTAGGAGATGGAGATCCAGGAATCCACCAGAGCACAGCTATGAGTTCCTTCTTAGGCAGCACCAATTTGGAGCTTTTTAAACTATTTTTCTCTTACACATTGTTCAACAGGATCACACTATAGAGTTAAAGGCCTCTATGTAGCCCCTAAAGATCCCTGTATTTTCGGAGAGCCAATCTTCATGAAATCAAGAGATGATTACTTTGCAGTTTATATCATTTGATAATTTCTACTCAGCAGTTGATATCATTCAATAAGTAATCACCTTCCATAGTCAAATTTCATATACTTGAGACCAGAAAAATGGCACCGTGGTAACTGACTCATGTCAGTTCCCCCCTCTACCCCCCTCCTGGGGCTTGAACTCAGGGCCTGGGCACTGTCCCTGAGCTTCTTTTTGCTTCAGGCTAGCACTCTACCACTTGACCCACAGTGCCACTTCCAGCCTTTTCTGTTTATATGGTACTGAGGAATGGAACCCAGGGTTTCATGCATGCTAGGTAAGCACTCTACCACTGAACCACCTTCCCAGACCTGACTCATGTAAGTTTTAAGACCAAAAAAGGAAAACCTGAGACTTTCATTCTGAGGGTGTGCAGCCCACTCCAACACCAGCCCCTGCCCACTGAGAGACCTGAAGAGTTTCCTGCAAAGTTGGACCTTTCCTACCCTCCAGGCCGCACTGCTTTTAACTCTTGAGCCAAGAAAGGAAACTGAGGCCAGAGTCAAAACTGTGTTACACACAAGTTGAACCAGAACAAATCAAAAACCCTCCACAGACCACATCTCTGTAGAATGAATGCCTAACACTGGGTTCTGCTCTCTGGAAGACTAACTTTCATGATATAACCATGATTATGGGTGGAAGGCTTCCATTTGTGGGCTGATCTGGGTTTCCTGACTCTTGTTAAGTACATTTTTTTTTCAAGCTTGAACTTTTTTCCCTTTTTTTTCCCCTTTACAGCCAACATGCTAGACTCTGGTAAATCTGTTCAACCACTCCAAGATGTTCTAAAATTATAAACCGGAATTGCCGTTGGCTTACAAATCTCATGCTCTGGCTTTGCACACCCTCTGCTCTGCCTGCATAAAAAAAAACTTCCAGGCATGTCTTCGGAATCTGTTCCTAATTTACCTGAGCTGGTAGAGGCCGGGGATTTGCTGCGCCGGGAAGGCCCCGGACTCTTGGTGGTGCTCCTGCGGGACGATGAAGCTATTTTGGTGTAAGAAGTGGACTTCACCACACGACATTCTGTAGAAACAAGAAAAACCATACATCAGGATCCAGTGACAGCACACACACCATCATCCAAGAATAGAAATATACCTATCTCCATAGACCATCCTTGGTTGCACCTACTTCCTGCCTGCCCAGTGCTCTGTAGTGACCATGGAAACTGAAAGAATAAAGATGGAGATCTGGATGGGTTTCTTAGACATTCAAAGTCATTGACAGGCTAAGTCTCCTTATTTACTTTCTTTGCACTGCTACTGAGGATCACTTAGAATGAGGGGCTGGTGAAGGGGGCAATTCACTAGCTTTCTCTTTACCTTCCCCTTAAGGGATGTGTGTATGTGTTTTATTTTTAGGATACATTGTTCTTTCATGTTAGAGGAAAGGTCAACTTCCTGAAACAAGCAATATAACAGGAGATTTCCATCTGCCAGAATAGGTCAAAATGTACTGTCCCGGGAACCTTGCAGAGAAGGCTGTGGGACGTTATGATGCTAGTGATACATTTGCTCATACTAATGGGCCAGGTATCGGTGGCTCACACCTGTAATCCTAGCCACTCAAGAGCCTGAGATCAGGGGATCATGGAGTGAAGCCAGCCCAAGCAGTAAAGTCTGTGAGACTCTTATCTCTAATTAAGAACAACAACAAAAATGAAAAGCTAGAAATGGGGATGTGGCCCAATTGGCCGAGAACCAGCCTTTAGTGAAAAAAGTGAAGAGATAATACACAGGGCCCTAAGTTTAAACCCCCATACTGGCAAAGAAAGAAAGAAAGAAAGAAAGAAAGAAAGAAAGAAAGAAAGAAAGAAAGAAAGAAAGAAAGAAAGAAAGAAAGAAAGAAAGAAAGAAAGAAAGAAAGAAAGAAAGAAAGAAAGAAAGAAAGGAAGAAAGAAAGAAAGAAAGAAAGAAAGAAAGAAAGAAAGAAAGAAAGAAAGAAAGAAAGAAAGAAAGAAAGAAAGAAAGAAAGAAAGAAAGAAAGAAAGAAGAAAGAAAGGAGGGAGGGAGGGAGGGAGGGAAGGAAGGAAGAAGAAGAAGAGGAGAAGGAGGAGGAAGAGGAGGAGGACGAAGTAGAAGCAGAAGCAGAAGCAGGAGAAGAAGAAGGAGAAGGAGAAGGAGAAGGAGAAGGAGAAGGAGAAGGAGAAGGGGAAGGGGAAGGGGAAGGGGAAGGGGAGGAGGGGGAGGAGAAGGGAAGAAAGAGGAGGAGGAGGAGAGGGAGGAGAAGAAGAAAGAGAAAAAAGAAGACAACTACGAGATAATGGTGGTAAAAAGATGCTGTTGTCCCACTACAAGGATGTGGTGTCACAGCACAGAATTGCTAGAGTGCTTGTACTGTGTCTGTAAAACCATCTTGACCTAAGAATAAGAATAACATTTTTTTTTAAGTTTTTCAATGTTCCTATTCATTAAAGTCAGTTCTTAAGATCATAAATAGCAAAGACCTATGTGTTTTACTCTTTGTAAGCTTCACAGTTCAGTCATGATGTGCAATTCCATACATATTGCTCTGAAGAAACCATGTTTCATAATTAGGAAATATATGCTTTTAATGCTAATTAATGTTTAGTGTTGCTAAAATAGCATTAAGGAGCATATTAGGTGCACTCCAAATAACTCATGATCAAATGCTACTTTTCCTTGAGGGGAGTATACAAAAGTCAAGAATGTTTCTACTCATTTGTATATTGAAACAATACTGGGAGTGATCTGAACATCCCGATCTGTTTCCAGTCCTTTTCACAATATAATAGCTGTATTATCCCCTTTGACCACATAAAGCATTGTGATTTAATTAGTCTGATTTTTTTTTGCAGGGGGGGCGGGTAGGTGCTGGTGGCTCAACCTGTGATCCTAGTTACTCGGGAGGCTGAGATTTGAGAATCATGGTTCAAAGCCAGCCTAGGCAGAAAAGTTCTTGAGACTCCTATCTCCAATTAACCAAAAGCCAGGAGATGTGCTATGGCTCAAGTAGCAGGGCACTTGCTTCAAACAAAAATGCATAATGAGGGTGGAAAGTCCTAAGTTCAGCATGCACACACTCGTACACACACACACACACACACACACACATGCATATATACATGCATGCACACGCTTACAATTAATCAGATTCTTCTTCCCTTGGACATTTAACTTGCTTTCAGTATTTCACTATCATAATTGTCCTATAATACCTTGTAAATGAGAATTCAGGTAGCTGTCTCCTTCTGATAGACTTAGTCTTTGTTGTTTAAAATGAAATTTCTATACCTAGGGGCTTAAACATATTTGCAAAATGAAGTTGGTTTGGTGTGCTGATGGAGAAGTATTTTAAAAGCTCTTGGCAAATTTTCTCTCCAAAATGTCTGACCCACATAACTTTCACTAGATCATGAATGGTCATATCCCCCCCCCCCACCCCCCCCACCCCCCCACCCCCCGGAAGTAAAGTATTATTTTTCCAAGAAGTTTTTCCCCTCAGATTTCTAATCAAATGCAAGACTTAATTGCTTGCAGTATGAAATTGGTTGATGGCCTATACTATTGTGTTTTTCACTTACATGCATATTAACTATTTCTTTGCAATTCCTTTTGCAATTATGCATTCACATCTTTTTTTCATCTGCAGTAGAGGTTGTTCTTTCTCTTATTAGTTTGTAAGAATGTGTTCCTGGTTCAAAAATGAATCCCTTTGTCTACCATGTTATACATATTTATGTTTGTAGGCAGTTGCTGAAATAGGTTAGCCTTTTGCATGTGGCATTCTTTTTAAGTATTGTAGCTTAAATCAAAGTATAATACATTAACATTTCCATTATACAGTTTAAACATCTTATCCTTTAGTTACAAAGAATTCATCATTCCAGATCTAATGCCAATATGTGATTTTTTATCTTTATAATTTTCTTCTCTATTTATGCAATTAAAAACTTACAGTATCTTTCTTTTCTTTATCTACTGTAGTTGACATTGTTTAGTTAAAAAATAAAGGACTAGGGTTCTATATGCAATATAAATATTACCAGACTAGAAATAGGAGATATTGCATAGAGAAGAGTTCCATAATTGAACTGAGATAAAACAAACAGGGAAAATTTCATGAAGAACATAGAAGAGCAAATGGTAGAGAAGAAAGGGAAGGAAAAAAGAAGTAGGAAAGGGAAGAAGAGGAGGAAAAAGAGGAATGTTTGAAATCATACTTCTGCCCTCTCTTTTTCTTCATGGCTAAAAGCAGAAATAAATGAATCGGGGTATTACTGAGTGTGATGGTTAATCCTTATGGTCAGCTTTACTGGATTGAGAAACACCTAGGAGCTTAGTAAGGCACATCTCTAGGGATGTCTATGATGGTATGATGTCTCTGATAGCAGAGATGATTAGAACATTAGCACTCTGAGCTAATGAATAGATTAATCCCTTGGTGAATTCATAATATGATGGTATTAATGGGAGATAGTGAAAGTAAGATATGGGTCTAGCTGAACGAAGTAGGTCACTGAAGATGGGTCCTTGAGGCTATATTTTGCCTGGCTTCTCCCTATCCACCATGCCCTCCCAGCCATGATGGGCTGACATCTTAGAAACCATGAGCCAAAATAAAAATCTTCCATCTGAACACTGGTGCCTTATACCTATAATCCTAGCTACCTAGGAGGCAGAGATCTGAGGACTGCAGTTTGAAGCTAGCCAGGGCAGGAGAGTCTGTGAGACTCTTTTCTCCAATTAATTATAAAAAAAAAAAAAACAACTAGAAGTGGATAAAAAGCTTGGGTGGTAGAGCACTAGCCTTGAGCAAAAAAATGCTTGAGGATACAGCCTATGTCCTGAGTACAAGCCCTAGAACTGGTACAAGTAAAAAGAAACGAGAAAACATTTCTTTCTTTTAAATTGCTTGTCAAGCATTCTGTTGCAATGATGAGAAAAGTAAATAATAAACTGAGCCTACTCAGTTTTTCCTAGTAACTTTGGGCCACTGTTAGCTCTTCTAACCTGACCAGGGGGCATGGAAAGTTGATTTCATTTTGAAAAGGAAAAAAAAAAAAGAAAACAAAAGGGACTCATTTAGGCATGTCAGCAAAAATTAAGACAGGTTAACCCAGAAAATAACACTTACAACAGAAAAGATATGATCAGAAACACCAGGACTGTTCACATGACATGGGACAATAATGGATAAGGATGTGTTCCTGCTTAAACCTGAGCTCTGGACCATGTGAACAGGATCTCAAATTAGCTTAAGAGTCTATCCTCATAACTGACAGCACATTCTGGACTTTGTCCTAGATTTTTGCCTTGCCTTTTGAAAGTATTTTAACTACCCATCTGGATCACCATGTTGTGGTGGGTTCATGAGCATGCTTCCACCAACTGTATTTTGATAAAGTAACCACTGTGCCAGGCACTGAGAGCTGCAGGTAGTGTGGAGAACAAAGTTGGAACTTGGAGTCTGGCACGTAGAAAGCCTTTGTTTTTGGCTTTGCTAATTTTTATTTCATAAGATTCATATTTGAAAACAATGTTGGCTTAATTCAACAAATTATTTTTCAATAGCAATACATCTTCTCATCCTAAATCAAAATGAAGATGACAAACAAGGGCAGGATGACCCAGGCTTTTTGTCTCAGGTCATGGACATTTAGAGGCCATATAAATTTTAAAAAATCGTAGTTTTGAAAGCTCAGCCTCTAGCTAGCCAGAATGAATAGTTAAAATAGAAAGCTACCAGATGATGCACATTGTTCATCACAGCCATTGTGAAACCACAACAAGAATTAAGATGTTGATTTTAGGGTTTGTCTCATGCTGTTGGCTACAGGTGCTTATCTTGCTAGTGAGGACCCTAACTACCAGTCAGGGCTCTAGACTAGTGTAACAGAACCAAACTCATCACACTAAGTTGACATTTTTCCAGATACCAGAGATGTGCTAGTTATTTTAGTCAACAACAGTCTTAGAGAAAATATAGTCCTTTCTGGAGATTTTTGAGGCACTGAAAGTTTCTGGGCTCAAGTCATAACTTGAGCTTCCATAGCTTCCACT